AAACCCGTCTGAGGCCCTTTCTGGGCCCCGTCCAGACCTGGGCCGAATTTGCCCTCCTCTATCCTAAACTGGCTCGACCCCATGGTCCCTCGTAGATCCTGTTAGCTCCCCGATTGGGCTGTTGGGTTTCGAGAAATGACTCGTACATAGAGTGGGTGTATAGAGAGAGGGAAAGAGCAGAGAGAAAACTAGGATTTACTTGTATCTCTTGTTCCTGCGTGGGGCCACCTCAGGATGAGATTTGTGGGGGAGGGGTGAGCTCCCCATCCCATTAATGCCTTTGCCCGTGAGCTGAAATACTTTTCTTCTAAGCAACACTGAGTTCAGAATTCAGTTTTGCAACTTACCTTCTGCGTTATGGAAGCTAAGCTACCAGAACTGGTGAGCCCCGCTTTTCCCTTGTCCCAAACACACTCAGTACATCCTTATGCCCTGTATTCCTTTACATCATTTATGTGATGTGTTTGTGCTATGATGACATGTTTATATAAAAATGAGTATATACACAGTGCGTGGAGTAACTGTGTGCTGAGCATTTGGCTAAGTGCTTTGAATAGATACAACCAACCCCTTTTTGCAGAGCAGACTACTGAGTGAAGCTCAGGTAGGTTAAATAACCTGTTCAAGGACATAACTACTAAGTAGTGAAACGGAATCCAATCCACGATGTGCCTCTCGTATCTGCACAGACATTGCCATCTCTCCCCCTTCCCAAAGCACTACATAGGTACCGCCAGTATTTCATGTGAATCCCCATGACCCCTGGGAGTTGGTTATCCTTACCCTATTTATAGGTGAACAAACAGGCCCAGAGAAGATGTGATCTTCTAGAGCCTGTGTTGTCTTCTTGATAACCTTGTGCCCTCTTCTCTCCCAGAACCCGATACATCAGCACCGAGCTGGGCATCAGGCAGAGGCTGCTTGTGGCAGTGCTGACCTCACAAGCCACGTTGCCTACACTGGGTGTGGCCGTGAACCGCACGCTGGGGCACCGGCTAGAGCGTGTGGTGTTCCTGACAGGCTCTCGGGGCCGCAGGGCACCACCGGGCATGGCAGTGGTGACATTGGGTGAGGAGCGGCCCATAGGGCACCTGCACCTGGCACTGCGCCACCTACTGGAGCAACACGGTGACGACTTTGACTGGTTCTTCATAGTGCCGGATGCCACTTACACCGAGGCACATGGACTGGCTCGCCTAGCCGGCCGTCTGAGCCTGGCAGCCGCTGCCCACCTCTATCTGGGCCGGCCGCAGGACTTCATCGGTGGAGAGCCCACCCCAGGCCGCTACTGCCATGGCGGCTTTGGGGTGCTGCTGTCCCGCACACTGCTGCAGCAGCTGCGCCCCCACCTGGAAGGCTGCCGTAACGACATCGTCAGTGCGCGACCGGATGAATGGCTGGGACGCTGCATCCTCGATGCCACAGGGGTGGGCTGCACTGGCGACCACGAGGTGGGAAGATATGCCGCCCCGTTGGCACTTCCTGCCTGCGCTTGTGCGCTTCCCCCTCAGAGGCAAAGGGGTGGTTGGAAAGAATAGGACTGGGCTTCCATGCCAGTTCTGTCACTTTCTATACCTGTAACCTTGGGTAAATTACTACATCCCCTGAATTTTGGTATCCTCGTCCATACCAATGACTATAACTATGGCTCAGGTCTGTTATAAGGATTAGGAAAAATAAGGGACCGTTGCACATAGTAGGTGCTCAGTGCTGGCTATTATTATTTTATTTGAGCCCCTGGACAGCTCTGAGATAGGATGCATAGGCCCATTTCACACCCGAGCTAGCAGAGGCTTGCGCAAAGTCACACAAGCTCACAACTGGTCAAGGTACACTTCACCCCAGTAATTCTGACTCCAAGTCCACCATAGGGCATAGGAGGGGAAGGTGAGACCCACGCTGGGAGGTAAGTGGGGAGCTGTCGCATCTCTCCCTTTCATGGACCCCCTCCCTTCCTCTCTCCAGGGGGTCCACTATAGCTACCTGGAGCTGAGCCCTGGGGAGCATGTGCAGGAAGGAGACCCCCGTTTCCGCAGCGCCCTGACAGCCCACCCGGTGCATGACCCCGTGCACATGTACCGGCTGCACAAAGCCTTTGCCCGCGCTGAGCTAGAGCGCACATACCAGGAGATCCAGGAGTTGCAGGTATGGTCTAGGCCCTGGGGGACAGAGGGGACACGTCCTAAGATGCCTGAGATACTAGGGAGATCAAAGTTAGCACTAGACTCAGAAGAAACCAGCTTCCTGGTCCCTGTTTGTTTCTGCCTTTCCTGAGAAGCCCCTCTAGAAGCCTCCTTTTTCATTCTTAGGCTGCCTCGATCTGGGAAGAGGAAAGGTGGGGGGCCCTGCGGATAGTAGAAGTTGGCAGAGGACTAGGGACCCTTCCCAAGCGGCCCCTGCTGTGTGCCGAGTCCTCCAGCTCTGCACTGGCCCCCTGTGGTCTATGCCTCCCTCCCGGTCTGTTTTTTCCAATCTAGTGGGAGATCCAGAACACCAGTCATCTGGCAGCCGATGGGGAGCGCGCAGCCGCCTGGCCCGTGGGCATTCCAGCACCGTCGCGCCCGGCCTCCCGTTTTGAGGTGCTGCGCTGGGACTATTTCACAGAGCACCACGCTTTCTCCTGTGCTGACGGTTCGCCCCGCTGCCCGCTGCGAGGGGCTGACCGCGCCGACGTAGCCGACGTGCTGGGGGCAGCCCTAGAAGAGCTCAACCGCCGCTACCACCCAGCCCTGCGGCTCCAGAAGCAGCAGCTAGTTAACGGTTACCGACGCTTTGATCCTGCCCGGGGTATGGAGTACACGCTGGACTTGCAGCTGGAGGCGCTGACCCCGCAGGGCGGCCGCAGGCCCCTCACCCGCCGGGTGCAGCTGCTACGGCCACTGAGCCGTGTGGAGATCCTGCCCGTGCCCTACGTCACCGAGGCCTCGCGCCTCACCGTGTTACTGCCTCTGGCTGCGGCCGAGCGCGACCTGGCCCCCGGCTTCCTGGAGGCCTTTGCCGCTGCGGCGTTGGAACCTGGCGACACCGCGGCAGCCTTGACCCTGCTGCTCCTGTACGAGCCGCGCCAGGCCCAACGGGCAGCCCATGCGGATGTCTTTGCGCCTGTCAAGGCCCACGTGGCAGAGCTGGAGCGGCGTTTCCCTGGGGCCCGGGTGCCCTGGCTCAGCGTGCAGACAGCCGCACCCTCACCGCTGCGCCTCATGGACCTGCTCTCCAAGAAGCACCCGCTGGACACACTGTTCTTGCTGGCCGGGCCGGACACCGTGCTCACGCCCGACTTCCTGAACCGCTGCCGCATGCATGCCATCGCCGGCTGGCAGGCCTTCTTCCCCATGCACTTCCGGGCCTTCCACCCCGCCGTGGCCCCGCCCCAGGGCCCCGGGCCCCCAGAGCTGGGCCGGGACACGGGCCGCTTTGACCGCCAGGCTGCCACCGAGGCCTGCTTCTACAACTCCGACTACGTGGCGGCCCGAGGGCGGCTGGCCGCGGCCTCCGAGCAGGAAGAGGAGCTGCTGGAGAGCATGGACGTGTACGAGCTGTTCCTGCGCTTCGCCAGCCTCCATGTCCTGCGGGCGGTGGAGCCAGCACTGCTGCAGCGCTACCGGGCCCAGACGTGCAGCGCCCGGCTCGGCGAGGAGCTGTACCACCGCTGCCGCCAGAGCGAGCTGGAGGGCCTGGGCTCCCGCACCCAGCTGGCCATGCTGCTCTTCGAGCAGGAGCAGGGCAACAGCACCTGAGCCCGCCCCACTCCCCAGAACCCTGGCGTGGCAGCACCCCACGCCCCTCCCCTGCCCCCCAACAACCCGGAGCCACCCGCCAGCCTCGCAGGACAGGGCTGGCGGTGGTCTCAGACCCCAGGGCAGCCCGCCGACCCCCTCTCTAGCTTTGTGGGTCCTCGGGCTCTGGACAAACCCTGGGGGGTGCCTTTGGAGCCACCTCTTCCTGCCCCAAACCTGGTCTCCCTGCCTTACCCCCCCCCCCCCCACCCTGACGCTGCTGATTCCAGCTGTGGCCTCTGAGTATTTATGCAGTGCAGTCTGCCCGACGCCAGCCCCATCTCCCTCTGGGGGGCTGGGCTGTAGATGAGTGGTTGGGGAAGCGGGGAGCTGAGAGAGGAAGGTGGGGTGTGCCCCAGCTTCTCCCTTCTGGACCTGGATGAAGCTCCCTGCCTTTAATAAACTGGCTGAGTGCGGACTAGTGACTCTTGAGTTTTCAAGAGGTGGTACGGGGGACTGGGAGGGCTGGTGGTAAGGACGGAGGCTCCCTTGTCCTGGCTGGGGCCCGGGTCCCCTTTTCCCAGGGACTAAGCCATGAGATGCCCAGCCCTGCGCCAGCTCGCAGCTTCGTCATACGTGCACACGGAGAATTCTTTATGCCTCTTTATTCTCACTTGCATCAGCACTTTATAAAACCAGCCCAGAGGCAGAGAGGCCATTCGGGGAGGCTCCCTTCCCCACCCCCAAACCCCGCCAAGATCTGATAGGTCTGCCTGCTCCCCGTGGAGGGGACTCTGAAGGAGGGGCAGTGGCAGGAGAAATTGGGAGCTAGGCCAGGCCTGCTGGGCCACCAGTCCCCCTGCCCAAAGGGGGAGCTAGGCCTGGAGAGGGACAGGAAGCAGGACCAGCCCAGCACTCCCGAGTCCTGGGGGTTCTCCCCCTCCTGCTGACTTTCTAGGGCTGGGACCCTGGCTGTCCCTGAATCACACCCCCCCCCTGCTTCTACGTCTGTATCCCCACCCCCACCCCGCCCTCCCTAAGTATATACAAATGTACAGGGGGTTCCACCCCTACTGGGATGGGCCCCTCCTCCCACCTCCCTCTCTCCTTTCCGCCCCTCCCCTGCAGCCCTCCCTGGGCCCCCGGCCAGTCCGGTGGCCGGGGGGTGTGGACAAGAAGGACCCTTGTGCAAAGCAGCTGCCACCAGAGCTGGTGAACTGAGTCCCCACCCTCCCAGGGAGCACTGCCCTCTCCCCCCTCCCCTTGGGTCACCCCCTGGCCTTGTGTGCCAGGATCAGGAGGAGACTGCTGAGGATCCCCAGAGGGGCCCCAGAATCCTGGGTCTTTTTAGACACAGCACCGTCCTAGCAAGCGAAGTCTTCAAAGAGGCCTCCCCGGGGCCCAGGAGGGTGGTGGTGGTTGGGGAGCAGGCCACTGGCGGCCCCTCCCTCAACACAGCCCCGACTTGGGCAGGGACTCTGCAAGGTAAAGAGGCAGTGGGACTCAGAGAATGCAGGCCTTGCGCCCACGCCGCGCCTCCCGCAGCCAGCCTCTCCCCCTCTCTCCGTCCCCTGGTCCTCTGGGGCAGGGCTTTGGGGACCCCAGGCAGCCCTTCTGCTCTTTTAGTCGAGGCCTTCAGTCCTGCAAGCGGGCGCCCCGGGAGAGGGCACAGGCTGCACCCTGCAGAGCTCACCCTCACCTGCTCCTTGAGCTCCTGCAGCCCCAGGGTGGAGATGCCCCCAGTGGAGGTCCGCAAGGGGGTCTTAGGACGACGCCACACCCGCTTCAGTCGGTCCCAGGACACCTTGGGGTTCAGGGTGAGGGGACAGCAGTGGGCTCAGGACACGTGGTAGAGAAGGGCAGGCCTCACCAGGCCCACCTTGTAGGACTTGCTGCCCCAGCAACCCCCCAGTAGGACTCCCCAATCCTCCCCACCCAACCTCTTCCTCCAAGGCCCTCCAGCCAGTCAGGGGGCCCTGGCCAAGAACCCCAGCTTGCAGCCAGGCCAGCTGCACCGGGAAGACCGTACTGCCCCCTGCTTTTCCCACAGCCCCTCCCCCCACCCTCCACGCCCCTCTGGGGGGGCCCCCACCAGGCCCCCATCCCTTGCCTCATAGATGTAGTCCAGGATCTCCAGCAGGGTGAGGATGCTGGCCCCGATGAAGAGGCCCATCTGTCCCCCGAGGTCTCCTGGGGAGCACAAGAGCAGGGTCAGAGGTCCAGGCTGGGCTCGTCTGCCCCCGTGGAATCGGGGTCAGGGCCGCGTCTCACCCAGCAGGGCTGACAGGCCGTAGGCTGCTCGCTGCTCCATGGCCTCGGAGGTCAGGGCTTCAAAAAAGACATCAAGGACCAAGAAGTTCTCGCTGTGGAGACAGGAAGCCGGGTGTCCCTGTTGGGCCATCCTGGTCTGAGGTCCCCTGCACCAAGAAGCTGGTGACCACCCTCAGACTCCCAAAGGCTGTGAGGGAAGACAGTCCCAGATGCATGTCTGTTTCATATTTTGAGGCTTAGCCAAGGGGCTGGGGGAGCAAAATAAAACTCCTGGGCCTAGGGGCGCCTGGGTGGCTCAGTTGGTTGAGCATCCGACTTCAACTCAGGTCATGATCTCACAGTTCATGAGTTTGAGCCCCGCATGGGGCTGTTTGGTATCAGTGCGGAGACCGCTTCGGATCCTCTGCCCCCCTCTCTCTTTGCACCTCCCCCTCTCATGCTCTCTCTCTCTCTATCAAAAATAAACACTAAAACAAACCAACCAACAACTCTTGGGCCTGAAGGAGCTCCTCCTGCCTTCTTCTGTAAAGCAGCAAACAGCATTCACTCTGTATCATCCTAATACCTCTCTGGAACTTTCAGTGGCTCCCCATTACCTAACAGTACACCCCAAAATTCTTTTTCCAGACTTCTAAGATTGCCTGTGATCTGCACCTTCTTATCCAGACTTCTTTTTTCTTTTTTTTAATGTTTTTTATTTATTTTTGAGAGTCAGAGAGAGACAGCACGAGCAGGGGAGGGTCAGAGAGAGACAGCACGAGCAGGGGAGGGTCAGAGAGAGAGGGAGACACAGAATCTGAAACAGACTCCAGGCTCTGAGCTAGCCGTCAGCACAGAGCCCAACACGGGCCTCCAACACACGAACCATGAAATCATGACCTGGGACGAAGTCAGAAGCTCAGCCGACTGAGCCACCCAGGCGCCCCTCCAGACTTCTTTCTTATCTGCTTCTCTCCACACAGCCTGCCCGATGCTCAGGCTGGTCTCTGTATGATCCCACAGTTCTCTAGTTGGGATGCCTCTCCCCCACCCCATCTCCTCCTGTCACAGGGTCCTCAGAGGCCCTGTGCATGCCTCCCCTGCTTCACCTGCCCCGCCCGTTAATCTCAGAGGAGGCCTGAGGCTCAGCACCCAGCACCGCACCATCAAACAGGGCCTCAAATTGCGGCAGGAGACTTGTGGTATAATCATCTCCGTCTCCACAGGCCCCACACCCTGGTCCCCTGGCACCCACAGGATGTTCAGCCTTTGTAGATTGACTGCTGGGGACCAGACCCAAGGCTCAAAGAGGCCTCTCCTGCAGCCCACCCTGTCCCTTTCCTCAGCACAGCACTCACTCAATATGCATTCAATGGCTCCCAGGTTGCTGGGAAAAGGGGCGGGGGAAGGGGGACACAAGCAGAGGGCTGTAAAACAACCATTAAGTCCAATGACCGAGAGAGGTACAGGGTGCTGTGGGGGCTCAGAGGAAAGGCATTTGGATCAAGAAGGGCCTCCCTGGAGGTGGGGACACAGGATGTGACTTGAGGGAGGACGGGTAGGGATTCATTAGAAGAAAGGGATCGGAAAGGTCTTCCTAGCGGAAGACTCATTAGTAAGAAAGATGCCCCCCACTCCCAGTCTCCATCACGGACCAGGCCTGTTGCGGGTCGCCTCGACTAAACACACACACACGCACGCACGCACGCACGCACACATACCGTATGTAGGTTTCGTTGCGGTTGTACTTCCTTGCCAGGTACCGGGCTGAGCCCCTGTTGGGGATCCTGACCATGGAGATTTCTTTTCCGTAGCGGGTCAGGTTGCAAGGAGTAGGGCAGAAACACGGGCCCTCGGAGCCCCCACCCAAGGAGTCTGCAACACAGAGGCACCAACTGCAGTGGGGGGCGGGGTGCCCAGAGGCCCACTGGCTGCAGGGAGAAGGCATAGGGGCTGTCCTGAGGCAGGCAGGTCCTCGCTGAGGACCTCTACTGGCCGACCACCCTGGCACTGCCCAGGGGAGGCTGGCTCGGGGTTCCTTCCTGTACCAGCTTCAGACCACCTAAGAAAGCGGGTGAAGGCAGAACCCCCCAGCACCCTCCTACAGGCTTATCTTTCTGTGTCCCAGCTCTTTGGGGCATAGCAGTCCTCATGGCTCAGATGGAGGAGGACACAGCCCATCCGTCAGAGCCAATCAATCACACGACATCTCAGACACACGTGGGGCTTGGAAAGGACGCGAGATGAATGGGATTATATGCATGTTTTCACATATGCAGATGGATGAGTGGGTGGATGGGTGGACAGATGGGGAGAAGGACAAATGCTGTGTTTAATATGCTGGATTTTCTTTGTTCCCCCCTTCAAATCCACTCTCCACTCTCCTCCACCTTTCTCGGTGCCCAGGAGGCAGGTGTGTCTGCCAAATGCATTACCCAGACTCCTTCGTCTTCTGGCTTTGGGTTGGGTTTGGCCAATGGGAGACCCCAGCAGGGTCAGAGAGCAAGGAGGGGAGAGATGCCAAGGTATTTCTTTCCCCAGCTTCCTCACCACCAGGCCATTGGTTGGCTGAGACTCCTTCCCCCTCTTGTGGCCACAGTTCCTGTCCTCTGGGACAGCCACACATCTCTGCCTGAGTCCCAGGGGCGCTCCCTTCCTTTACCCTGTAACGCAGCAAATGGCATTCACTCTGTATCATCCCAATACCTCTCTAGAACTTGCTGTGGCTCCCCATTGCCTAACAGTACACCCCAAATTTGTGGACGACTCAAGGCTTCCTGGCGTTGCCAGTTCTGTGGAGTTTTACCATCCCTTTGGTTCCCTTGTGCCTGCTCACACATCTGCCCCTTCATTAAACACTCTCCCACGGCCCCTTTGGCTCATGCAGTTAGAATGCAGGACAGAGAAGGTCTTGGTTGCACTTCTTGTTGTGTCTCTCCCTCCCAGTGGCCCCGTCATCTGGATGACTGCAGTGCTCTCCTGACTGGTTGCTTGGCTTTTGGTCTTAACTTCCGCCATCCCTTCTCCACAGCTAATCAGAGTCACCTTGATAACATCAGATGGCATTCTTGCCTTGCCTGAAGCCATTGTTGGCTTCCCAGAGCCTCTCCACTCTTGCCGCCCCTCCTGTTCTCTGCCCTTGAGCCACACTGACCTTTCAGTGGTCCGCCCCCCCCCCCACCAACTTCTTTCTGGCTACAGTGTTTAGCACTTAACTGTTCCCACTGCCTAGAGCATGTCCCCCTCTTTTCACCAGGCTGACTCTTCCACACGCTTCGAATCTCAGCTAACCAATCTATCACCTCCTCCAAGGACCATCCTGCCTTCTCAGATGGAGCCACACGCCCCTGGGTTTCCCCTGTCCAAGGACTAAGGTTGTGCCTGTGCGGGTGCAGTGCCTGCCCACAGCCCTGCTGGCCAGGAAGCTCTGTGAGGGCAGCCTCTCGTTCCTGCTCTCACCTCCAGCACCAGCCCAGGCCGCCAACGTCTGCAGAGGGATGGATGGATGGATGGATGGATGGATGGATGGATGGAGGAAAGAATGAGTGAATCGCAGCCCAAGTGAGACCTATAGACAGATGGGGTTTGCCTTACCCACACTGATAGCAGCACACGTTCCTCAGACCAAGAGAAAAGTCATTTTGCTTCCCCAGAGAGGGTGAGCTCGTTGGCTGAACCACAACAGAAGTCAACCCTTCACTCCCAGTCCTGGTTTTTCTGCCACCCCCACCCAGCTGCCTCCACTTACCCAAGTGTCCACACCTGCAAAGGCCTCAGACCCCCTGGTGGTATGGGATAAGGTTCAACCCTGGAGGAACCAGTCCAGGGAGAGAATAGAAGGAAGGGGGCCAAGGCAGAGGAGAACGGACAGGGGGATGAAGAGGCGGGTGATGAAGAGGCAGGGTAGGGGAGAAGGCAGCACGGACCCAGGGTGTGGTCAGCACACTCGATGTAGATGTTTGGCGGGCAGATGGTCTCATTGCCTGGAAGGAGAGAAGATTGTTCCTGGAGTCTATGGTTCAACCCCCCTCCCCCATGACATCCCCAAATGCGGGCACACAAGTGCGTGCACACACATGCGCTCGCACATGCGCTCACACATGCACACAGATGTACGTGCTTGCACATTCCTGCACATGCGTGAGCATACGCAGGCTCGTGCATGCATGCCTGAAAAAGTACACGCACATACATCATGCAAACAAATGCACACTGCCCACATGCACACACACATCTGTACGCACGTCTACCAGCACATGCACGTAACCGCCTCAAATACACAAGCACAAATGGACATAAGCACACATGTGCATAAATGCATATTAACATGCCCACAAACATGCACCCGTGCATCCCCATATGCGTATGTGGAAACATGTATAAACTCCCCAGCACATCTGCATACACTCACGTGAGTGTAGACACGCACACATGTTGTGGTACACATGCACTTGCTCGTGCACATGAGCAGCGCTCTGCCCCTGGAGGTTCCGGAGCCCGGCGGGGTGGCACGGAGGGCTGGCGGGAGGGTAGGGTGCCCACCTGGCATGTGCACCATCCGGCAATGGCAACGCTGGAGCACGGCCTCCTTTTCACAGCGCAGCCGGCAGGCAGACACACTGTAGGCTGAGTAGCCCTGCAGCTCAGGCTCCCTGAGCCCGCTCTCTGCCCGGCAGTTGCCCCAGGGCTGGGGCAGATAGGTCAGCTGCAGAGGGGGTGCATAATGGGGTCATGCCCAAAAGGCTCCCCTGGCCCTCCACTGCCCACAGCTTCAGCAAAGTCCGTGCATGGGCTGGTGGGCTGTGAGCTGCTAGAGGGTAGGTCTGGTCAGCAGCCCCTCTGGGCCCAAGGACCCTGCCCAGTGTCCAGTCCAGGCCCCAGGTGGAGGTGCTCACCCGCTGTTCCTGGCAGGACACAAAGGTTTGGAAGCCTGGGGACACGCCAAAGCCCAACTGGTGGATGTAGGGTGGCTCCTCTTGGCTATGAATCTGCACTCGGATGCCGGCCTCAAATGATGTCTCATCTGCACAGTGGAGATAGAGACCTTTGGAATCCCATCCCAGGCACAAGGCCCGGGCTGGACCCCCAGATCGGCCCCTGTCCCTTTCCCTGCATACTTGTCTCTCTCCAGATGGGCAGGTATTCCTCCTGCTGGATGTCCAGCATGATCTCCAGGCCACTGCCCATGCCCCCTGCCCGACTGGGCAGTGAACTCTGTGGATCCGCGTTGAAGGTATAACACTTCCCATAGCGGGTATAGACCTGGGGAGGGGGGTGAGAGACAGGAAGAGAGGAGATAAAGCTGAGACAATTCCTGAAGCTCAAGGTTCCCTGTCCGGTGAAAGGGCCACCCACCTGCCTGGACATCTCTGTCCAACAGCAACGAATCTGCAGCCCAGCCTCTTCCCTAAACTCTGTCTTTTCTACTGACACCCTCTCTTAGATGATTAAAAGGCACCTCCAGTTTAACGTATCAATAGCAGAACTCTTGCTATCTTCCCAAATCTGGTGCCCCACCCTCTGATTTAAGGGCCCCACCATCTATCCAATTTCTCAAGTCAGAGTGCCCGACACTTTTCTCTCTCTCACTCCTACGTTCAATCCAGAATCTGAGCTGGGCAATTCTACTTCTGAAATCTACTTACAATCCAACCACTTTCCTTCCATCTTGTGTCCCCTCTTTCACCAGCATCTCCCACCTCGCTATGGGCTCCTAGCTGGTCTGCCTTCATCCATCCTTGCCTCTCACTCCCGGCATATTCCCTCACACAGCAGCCAGAGTGCCCATGGTGAAGTGCAGGGATCCAACTGAGTCCCTTGCTGGTTTGGACCACAATGTTTCCCAGAGAATAAAGCCATCACCATGTGGTATGACTTCTGCCACTCTACCCCCAGATCTCGGTGACAAATTCAAACTTACGGAGCACCTTTCCTTCCCTGGTCTTTGTGCATTTAGTTCCCCCTCCTGGAATGCCACCCCCCACCCCCACCCCACTGGCATGGTTAGCGGCTTTTAAGTCTCAGCTGAAGTGTCTCCTTTTCAGACACATGCACATATACCACACACACATTTAGGGACATCCTCCATCAAGGTGTTCATCGGTTTGCTCAGTATATACCAAGACCGGAGATTATCTTGTTTATCTGTTTGTTTCCTTGTTCAGTGTACATCTCTCCCCCACTGAGGTTTATGCTGCACAGGAGCGGTGAGTTTGTTTGGTGTCTCCAGCACTGGCCAGTGGCGAGCACAAGGGACGCTTATGAGCACTCACTGTGGCGCCTAACGAAGCTCTTTTCCGTTACGGAGAGCTCCCCAGAATGGACACCAGATGGCGCCGGCGTCCCGGAGATGGAAGTCGAAGCCCCAGCGGCCAGTAGCTGCGATGGGGTCGCTGCGCAGCAGCTGGGGAACGGGGGGTCAAGAGAGAGGCGGAGGCAGGTGCCCCGCTGCCAGGCTCGCCCCACAGAGACGAGCCCCCGGGTCAAAGCCATCACAGGCAGCACCTTCCCTGGGGGCAAGGGGTCAGTGCACTCAATCACTCTCGTGCTCCCCCTCCCCTCTCCTTGGAAACGTTTCGCGCTGGTAAAAGCTGGGAGAAAAGGCTTGGGCGGGCGGTATTGGGGAAAAGGTATCCAAAATGCCTAGCTTCAGGGAAAGGGCGTAGAAGGGAGAGGGGCTGGGCTGGGGGCAGCAGGAAGGATGAGTTCTAAGAACTAGGGGCCTGGGGCACTGTCCTTGGGGGGGGGGGCAGGGTTAAGTCTCCGGTGCCCCCTAGGTTAGTCAATTCAGCGGCTGATGCTCTCCTCTCACGTGATTCTTCTGTCACCCAAATATCCTGCTTCTGGCTCCTCAGATAAAAACGGTGCATAACATGCACCCTGCAATTTACGAAACGCTACATCCACACACACACACACACACACACACACACACACACACCCATTTCATGCACTCGGCAACTCTGATAGGGATAGATTTAATTAACCTGGCTTTTATAGACCAGGAAACCACAGCTCAGAGAGGTGATGTGACTTGCACAAGGTCACACAACCAGTTAACTAGCCGGTAGGAGAGGCGGAATTCATCTGGATGCAAGACTTGAGCTGTTCCCACAACCCACTGCTGGCAGTCGTCACCTGCCAACCCAAGTCCCAGCTTCGTTTCAGCCCCAGGTGAGAAGTGAGAGAGATGAGTGATTTAACGCCAGTCTGTCCCCTCCCCCGCCAATTCCTCCTTCCCTTCCACTCCATTCCTGTACACCTTCCTCACTTTTTTTTTTTTTAAAGCTAACCCTGTCTTTTGGGGTAGGGGGTCAAGGATTACCTGGTTCTAAGCCTTTCATTTCTTAAATGTTTATTTTTGAGTGAGCTGGGCAGGGGCGGGGGGTGGGGGAGAGAGACATGAGCAGAGCAAGGGCAGAGACAGAGGGAGACAGAAAATCCCAAGCAGTCTTTGCACTGTAAGTGCAGAGCCCAACGTGGGGTTCGAACTCATGAACCATGAGATCATGACCCGAGCTGAAATCAAGAGTCTGAGCCACCCAGGCGCCACCCCCCACCTACCTTCCTCACTCTTTGTTCTCCAGATCTGCTGCCCCTCAGTTCCTCACCTGCCCCTCCCCTCCTGCTTCTGCCCCTGACCAGTTTCTGGGTTCCAGTCCTCCACCCTGTCTGCATCAGCCCTGCCTGCTCCGTGCTGCACGTCTATCTGTGGGGCAGGAATAGGTCTGGCTGACAGTCCCAGAGCGTTCACTGTGCCCAGGCACTGAGCTAAATGCCTACCATGCTCTTTCCAATGGAGTCCTCACAACCACCCCATATCCCACAGATGAGGAAATGGAGGCTCAGAGAGGTGGGTTGATTTACCAAGGTCTCCAAGATCAGTGCTTCTCAAGCTTTAATGTGTGCTGCACAAAGCACCCGGGGACCTTGTTAAAATGCAGTTTCTGGTTCGGTGATGTGTGTTGGCAAGGGGAGGGGGCCAAGACTGAGATTCTGCATTTCTAACAACCTGCTAGTCCATGGACCGAACCTCAAGTAGAAAGGCCCTAAATGTCCAGTAGGGCAGCTCCACTTTATATGTGCACTCTGACAGCGTGTTACTGGAAGGAAGGGAACCTGGAGAGGGGCTCGGTGCAAGATTCCTGGGTCGCTGGGGGGTGTAGGAAGGGTAGATGGGGAGAATACGTAAGTATTTGCCTCAAATCTCAAGGCACCCACCCTCTTCCTACTCCAGGCCAAGAAGATGCTGGAATCAGCTCTTACTGATGCAGCCAGTTGGAGTGAATGCTCTAGTTGAGAGGCTAAACAAGGCATGGGATGCATGGGGGACCCCATTTAGTGAGCTACCCCCACCCCCCGTGTGCACCACCACCCGGGCTCCCCCTAATCATCATGGCCTCTCCACAGCTCAGCCCGGCCCAACCCGAAGGGCTGAGGGCTGCCCACAGCAGGGAGGCGCAGAGCCCATCTGGGTATGCATAGACCCTAGTACAACGTGTAGAAGGTGTGAGGTGACCCCAGTACAATGTGTAGAAGGTGTGAGATCGAGGGAAGGAGTGTCTGGGGGAACCCTACCAGAGGTCTTGCGTTATGGCTATGGTGCTTTTGATTTATGTTTTCCTGGGAGCCTTCAGGAAAACCACATGAGGAAAGTATCGTTGCCCCCATTTCACGGTGAGAAAGCTCAGAGAGGGAAGGTGAGTTAGCTAAGGGCACACAGCCAGTAGAAAACAGCAGAGATCCAAACAGAACTGAGCCCAGTGCCAAGCAGAATTGGTGCTTATAAAACACCTGGCGGGTATTCAGTGACTAGATGACTCTGGTAGGCTCCTGACCCTGGGCGGGCCTTGGGCAGCCTCCCTTTCAATACCTCTAGTAAGTACGCACAGACCTTGCTGCTTGGCGCTGAGCCCAGCCCCATGCAGGGCAGAGGTAATCAGGAAGGCTTTGACTACAATAGCTTTGGAGGGGGGTGGTTACCTGGCACCCCTGCCCTTGAGGGGGTTGTGCAGAGTGGGGGTGACAGAGGGTGGGAGTGCTCTGGGTCTGATACATACACTCTGCAGGGAATGGACAGGCTAGACTGGCAGGGCCGGGCCCCTTGCACAGCCCAGGTCAGGCCCGACCACTGGGCAGAGCAGAGCGTTGCCCCGGAGACGGTCCCCGGGCCAGGCAGGCAGCGGCGGGGGGGAACTACCAGCTCCTAAGTGGCAGAACCCTGGTGGCGGCACAGCCCACAGCCTCTTCCATGGAGACGGCACGGCCGCTGCGCCTCAAGGTCCCCCAGGCTGGTCACTGCTCTCTTCCCCATGGACTGGCCCGGAAGGAGGGGATGCGCAGAGGAGAGTCCAGGGCCCAGCAGGGGAAAGGGGCAGGTGCTGGGCTAGGATGTCCTGAGGTACTGAGGGTCTGTCTCCAAATGACCCACCACCAGCCCTCAGCCTTAGGGCCCTGTCCTCATCTCAGACCCCCACCTCTTTCTTTGGTCTGCTCTCCCCCCCCCCCCCGCCGCCTTCAGTCTTAGCTCCTGGGTCCAGCCTCCTGACCCTAAGCTGAGCACATGGCCTCCCAGAATCCTTCCAGACCCGGGCTGAATAGCTTCTAGATGGGAATCTGTCAGTGCTGCGTGGGGACCCTTGGGCCCTTCTGTTACCTTTCTCTCTCTCCCTCTCTCTCCCTCTCTCTCTCTCTCTCTCTCTTTTGTCCAGCCCTCTGCCCGTGCCTCTCAGACCAGCTCACCCTTTCTTCGCCTGGACCCTGGCCTCGGTCTGCCTCCCTAGTCTCTGTCCCTCTGATCCCTGTGTCTCCAGGCTCTTCTCTGTTCTCCCGGCCTGGCTGCCCTCGGCATCTGATAAATTATCCATCTGGCCTCTGTTTCTCTGTCCCTTGCCCTCTGTCAGCCAGTCCATCCACCGGCCTCTGTCGTGCTCTCCCATTGGCCTGAAGCACCCTGTCCTTCCTTTCTTTCTTCGCCCTCTGCATGTGCTACCTGTTTATCCTTAGCCGAGGTGTCCAGTCTCCGTCTCTTATCTTCCTACTAGACTTTTCCCTGGGCCTGAGACTGCCTCTGCCAAGCCAGGACCCCCCACGTGTGCCCCCTCCTTCTCCCTGCCCCCTCCTCCACGTCTGCCCCAGACAACATCAGAGGTTGCGAGGGATCTGTCCTCTCTGAGCTCTCCACTCTGAGCAGTGGCTTCTCACAGCCTCTTGGCTTCCATCTACCCACAGCGGCCATTCCCCCTGCCCCCCGGAAAGCTCTC